TTTACATTACTGGGGATTCCTTGACAGGAAATAAATGGGAGTGAGTGACATCACTGATTGCTAAGTATGCAGCAGGTGACATCACCCAATGCTTCCCTAACAACCATTGATAGGGGAAGAAGAAAACAATAGCAATTGAAAAAAACTATTACTACATACAGTTTGACATTTGGCTCCCACTGAATGAGTTAAACGTTTTCAGACAAACGAGTGAAAAAGCAGATTTAGGTATGAACCTGGGTTCAGACCAGACTGGGAATTAAATCCTAATATTCATCTGTGCTTCACCTTTTATTCTATTTAATATTATTCTACCTAATAGGGTAGATAATGCATCATACCCTTACTTACTATGGCACGTGTCATTTATTTGTCTAGCTGCATCACTGAAAAGTCAGCAAGTACCTTCCAGGAACATTCTCTTTTTTCTGTTCCTGCTTTACTATGAACCCTTTCTGGCATTTAGCCATTGGAAAATGTGTGCACATAGTTTTCTTTGCATGAGAAAAAAGTTTGCCTACAAAATATATTGGTATAGGAACATGCACAACTTCAGGAAATAATGTCAAAATCCTGTTCAAAGAACTTATCTAGCTGATTGGTATTCTAATCCAATAGTTTCAGAACTTTTTGAGTCACTTACCTGGAATAAGTATGCAGATAATGATTTCTGATTATGCTTAATATAAACCCATTTCAGGCCACTGATTTGGAAAATGTGGGAACCAACTGGACAGCATCAGAACCAGATCCTCCACAAGGCAACCTAGACAGAAGCCTAGGGCCTGGTGGATGTACAAAGGGTCCATCTCCAACTTTAATGCTCATGCAGTTAACCAAGAGGATAGTGTAATTGGTTGAACCTATTTGCTTGCCTGTCACTTGGGGGTTTATTTACTAAAGCTGGAGAGTCCAAAATCAGACTCCCTTCTGCATAGAAACCAATCAGCTTCTAACCTCAGCTTGTTCAATGAAGCTTTGGCAATGAAACCTGGAAGCTGATTGGTTTCTATGCAGAAGGGAGTCTGATTTTGGACTCTCCAGCTTTAGTAAATAAACCCCTGGGTGTCTGCTGGCCATTCCTGAACAGTCAATGCCATTTGGGTAGTTTCTCTCTTATTATATTCCTTATAAGCAACAATCAAAGTTATGGTTATGTGGGGTGTAAAGCAATGCTGGACACAATAACAAAAAGCAAGTCTTATACACACAATACACAGGTAGTAACACCCACAATATACATGTACATTTAACCAACACTTACACCATTATTCTAAGCATGTGAGAGACCCACTACCAAATGAACACCTGCCCTGGCACATCATAGCATTCACTCAGCACTCAAATAAATAACAGAATCCACCTGCAATATTCTTGCACTGTCAAAACCTTCACTTTTATTATCACACAGCACAGGAGGATATATCTTATAGTCATCACAATCTGCATAGTAACACACGCCAATAATAATGTGAGCATTACAACACATCTTTTGACAGCGTCGCAGCATAGAATTAATACATTACCAAAGCTATGAGAAGACGGGAAGGAACAGACCCTATTGGAACCATAATGCACAAGAGGTCGCAGAGAAGCCTTGAACGCGACCAATCAATGCGCCCATATAGCCTTGGCAAGAGTCCCAGTGTCAGAGCATCCCCTTTTGCATAGGAAGGCTCCCCCCTGACCTCATTCAGGCTTCCCATTTTAAGCCCTGTTTCTTGCACTTTCCCGAATTGGGCGGGCAGCATGACCACTCCGGGAGGAGCTAGCAGAAAAACAGAGTCACACCCAGTCACATTACTTAACAAACAACATTATCTCGCAATATCACACTTTTGCTTTAAATGAGCTTCTGATCTACCCTTAACTTAAAGATTTCTAACTTCTCAAACAAGCAGACATCTTTAAATGCATAAACAAGTTCTTATCTAATTTAAACAGTCTAATGTAACATTTTTGCTGTCACAAACACTTCTTATCTGCTTTAAGCAGTCTAATGTCTTGTGACTCTGTTCCTTTAGCCTAGATAAACTACTTCAATGTAATTTCTCGTGCTTCTGGCATCTGGGCAACGATGCTTTATTGTAAAAATTCCCCAAGAAACAAAGGGTCCAAGGCCAACACATTTCATAGGCATTAAAAGGAGCAATGCTCTTACCTTGCCTAGGGCCCCCTGCATTACTTTGTCTCCAGTCAGAATAATGTACTAGTGTAGCACACCACCTAAAGAGCCACTAGTGAATTTGGATCTATTTCTCCCTTAGAGCACACACAACCAGGCAGCATTTCCTGCACTCTTCCACTAACTTCAAAGAACAGTCTAGGAGTTTCTTTTTGGGTTTTTATTGGGAACAATAAACTTAGATAGGGATAGAGAGCATGGGATATCCCATTAAACTGTAAAACGGAACAACTTGAGAACTCTTCACTTTTGGCTGCACTGTACAAAATAAGGAATGTCCCATGGGATCCCTATAATGATGGTGACCTGTACTCCTTCCAGAGTTAAAAGCTACAGATAGTGACTACCCTTCAGCACTGTGGCCATTTACTCACATAGCCACAGGACCACTGGTTTCCTCCTGCTGATATCCACCAGGCTCTTCCTAGAGAGGGAGATGTAGGCTCCCACCTCCTTAGGACAGCTGAACTCTTTCCCACCAACTTCCTCCAGATCCAACATGACTAGAACTTGAAACAGGCCCCCTAGCTAAGCCTAGCTGGGTCCTTGTGTCTTCCTGAAAACGTCTTCTAAGGTTCTCCACCAGGGGCAGAGCCCTGCACAGGGGTTCCCTCCTGTAAGACTGGACCCAGAAACACTGCAATCTGTTGCACAGGCCTCAGAATATGTATGGGCTCTCTCACCACCTACTGGGCACACCTCGGATTGACAGGAGTACCATAAATATTCAGGCTGCATGCCCTGTTCTTCCTCCCACTATGGTTGTAGAATCATCTAGAAGCAACAGAGCATCAGCCTGTGAAACACTGAGCAACACCTACTTGTCTGATTACAATTGAGCTAATTAAATTTACCTAACAGCTTACTCTACACTAGGAGGGTACATCAGGAAAGTGGCTAATAGTTTCACGAGGAAAACAATAATAGCATCATCCATATTTATCATAGTACATATCCCCTATAAATTATATTTACCACCTTTTGTTCTTTCTTATCACAGAAATGTATTAAAATTTGTGTACTGCACTTTGATTCGTTATGTTTCTGATATGAAGACTCATTAAGAACCACCTCTAAAGGCCAAATGTCCCTTCCCAATCCTTCGCTAACATTCATTTTTCTTCTGTTGCAGACAAAATAACTTTGCTCGAGGTTTGGAGCACCAGCTGCCAGATGGTCTTCTTGTTACCACCGTACCATCAGAAACCCAGTGTCATGAAGAGATATCTGAGCCTGTTCCCGACCCTGATTTCCTGACAGGTCAGTAAATCCATTTATTTACCCACTCACAGCTGGTTCAATACAATGTGGCAGGAGAGCAGATCAAGAGATGTCTAATAGATTGCGAAATTGCATGCTTAACATTAGTGTGAAAGTCAGGTTGTCAATGGAACGCGTGAATGTGAATTACCTTGGTGAAATGTGCTTTTTCGACACTGTTGTTACATTATTAGCTACGTTTTGCTACCATACGAGAGTTTATTATTTATTGGGTGTTTTAAACCTATATTATCACCCTTTAATGAGTTATCGCATGTCAGTCTTGGAAGGGTTTTTTATTTTTTTTTGTGAGTGAAAAGCTTGATAAACTATTAAAAGGTGATAATATTGAGTGATAACACATAAGCTACAGATCGATGAAACCACCTCTGGGTAGTGATGTCTCAGACAGGTTTGAGAAGGAAATGTTACATTCAAATAAGGCTTCCTGAATTCTGATAACTCAAAGACTGGCTTCCCTCTCTTTATGGAATGGAGTCTTGTAATATTATTCAGCCTGTGTGTGTGAGACAGGAGTAACAGGTGAGGAAATCTGTGGCGGAAAACAACAAGACCTTGATTTTGAGTCGAATTGTCTTTTTTAATAATTTGCAGTATTCATTTTTGTTGGAAATAAATTTTGACCTATACATGATGCTTAAATCAGTATTAAACTCAAAACCAAAAATGTAGTATAGTGGATCCTACCAATCATTAGATGTGGTAGTTACATTAGTTTTATTTCTAGGCTTTTTCCCCCTCTCTTTTCACCTGGTGATCTGGACAGTAACAGACCTCTTGTATGCCCCCACTCTGGATGAAGGAGCACAGGGTGCACCTTTGGATGGCAGCATTAATATTCTGGGGGAAGGGAGATATACTAGCTACTAGCAGATTTAAATACACTAACACATTGAAGCCAAACTCCAGCTAACATTTTATATGCAGTTACAACAAACATTTTTTTTTCCTTTGGGATAAAGGTTTTACATAAATAAATAAATAAATAAATAAATAAATAAAACATGATCATTGTAAGCTTTTCCCTAAGTGTTATATGGTCTGTCTCATCCCTGTAAATGCAAGAGAGCTTTTCTGTTGAAAAAGAACAGACTTACTGGCTGGTTCACCAGATAAAAATAGAGAACAAAAGCCTAAAAAGGAAACTAATACTGCCGTCCCCTCTAAGAATTGGTAAGCAACAATATAATGTTTGCTATTGGGTTTAATACTGCTTTACGCTATCCAAAACATGTCTATTTCTTTTGAATGCATTTTTGCAGAATAAAAAAATAATCCTTAACCACTAGCCTACAGGGCACTTATACCACCTTCCTGCCCAGGCCAATTTCCAGCTTTCAGCGCTGTCAAAATTTGAATGACAATTGCGCGGTCATGCAACATTGTACCCATATGAAATTTTTATCATTTTTTTGAGACAGATAGAGATTTCTTTTGATGGTATTTAATCACCTCTGGGATTTTTATTTTTTCTTAAACAAACCAAAAACCACTGAAAATTTTGAAAAAAAAACGTTTTTTCTTAGTTTTTGTTATTTTGTAAATAAGTGATTTTTCTCCTTCACTGATGTGCGCTAATGAGGCTGCAGTGATGGGCACTGATAGGCTGCACTGATGGACACTGATAGGTGGCACTGATGGGCACTGATGAGGAGGCACTGGTAGGTGGCACTGATGGGCATTGACAGGCATCACTGATGGGCACTGAAAGGCAGCACTGAAACATGACACTGATATATGGCACTGATAGGCGGCACTGACTGGCACTGATAGGCGACACTGACTGGCACTGTTAGATGGCACTGACTGGCACTAATAGGCTGCGCTGACTGGCACTGATAGGCGACACTGATTGGCATTGATAGGTGGAACTGACTGGCACTGATGGGTGACATTGAAAGGTAGCTCAGATGGGGACTGATATGTGGCATTGATGTGCACTGGTATGCACTGATATGTGGCATTGATGTAGCACTGATGGGCACTGGCACATGGCACTGATGAGCACTGACAGGTGGAACTTTGGGGCCACACTGATCATCAGGCACAGTGATCATCAGTGCCCTGATGATCAGTGTACATGTCCCCTCCGCGGAAAGCCAATTACCGGATCTCCTCTCCTCTCGAGCTGTCAGCGTGACAGCTCGAGAGGAGAGAAATGCCGATAACCGGCATTTCCGTGTTTACATGTGATCAGTTGTGATTGGACACAGCTGATCACATGACCGAGCCGACATCTTCGGTTCTTTCCGTGATCCGCTGTGTCCGAGGGACACAGTGGACCGGTGATCGCCGCGCTGCGCGCTCCCTGAGCTGCACATGTGCAGTGAGAACGGTAGGACGTCATATGACGTCCTACCAGAACTAGAGAACCACCTTGTGCCCGTCATTGTACTATAGGGCGGGCGGAAGGTGGTTAAAGATGTTGGGTCTAATAAAGTAATTAAAGATTACCTGTTATATTCAGTTACCTCCTGCTATCTAGCTCTCTCATCACCTCCTCCGTAGCTCATATCAGGACTTCTCTGGAACCTCTCTCACCCTTTGGAACTCCCTACCCCAAACTCTTTAGCTATCCTCTGCTCTGTCCACCTCTAGGCAATTCCTGAAAGTTCATCTCTTCAGGAAAGCCTATCCCACCTCTACCTAACAGCTGAAATTTTACTTTCTTCATCAACCCACCTCTCTGGCCACCATTATTACCTTTTGTATCACTTGCCCTTCCCTGTAAATTCTAAGCTCTCCGAAGCAGGGCTTTACTACCCTCCTTGTATTGTAACTACACTGTATCTTTTTATTTTGTAAAGAGCTGCACAAACTGTGGACGCCATATAAGTTATGTGTATTAAAAATAAAACCAGCCATTACCCACAAAGTCTTCCGTCTCCCCATCAGGACAATGCTGTACCTAGAAATAAGCACACCTGCTGAAAGCAGATTTGTAACCTTCGGTGCAGGTTTTTCGGCAGCTCAGAGTTCTCCTTTAGATGAGGCCGATGTCTTGGATACTGACATTGTAAAATAGTGTTGTGATGGGAAATAACTAAAAGGTTCAGATGTGAAATTCACAGTTAGACAATTCTAGCTCAAGACAATGCTAATCAGCACAGTGACATTATCGAACCATTACGTTTTTCTTAGACATCTTCTTATCCCACTCTAACATATGCTGCGTAGTCAGCTCTCCGATATTGTATGAACCCTGTCTAATTAGCAGCTTTCACAGATAAGTGGGATCTGTCATTACTCTGCGCTCACCTATCACGAGAGCTGTCCGCAATTCTCCTTTTTAGCTTACGCTGTAACCTTATACATGCACGCACATTATCTTCCCTTTATGGAAATTGGTAACGTGACTTAAACGGATGAGGTTGACCTTTTGTTAATATGATAAAAGGATTGTAAGGATGTTTTGACTCTGCCCGGTCTCCTACCTGTATCTTACAAATACTGCAAGCCACCTCCTTGCCAAACCCTGGACAGATTTCATTTTTTCCTTCTTCAATGCATATTCAAGGGAAGGATGGCAGCATCCGGCGCTTTGTGAGCTTAGCCTGCATCAGTCGCTATGCTGCCAAGTTTAAATTTATGTTTTTATGGACATGTGTTCAATAGAACACACTTGCTACAGCATGTTCTATGAATATTTAAAGGCATTATGGACTGTAAGCTAGAAGACAATAGCAAAGAATATCATCTTTAATAAAAGTTATAAAAAAAAACCTTAAATTGTTTGTGCTATTCCAGTGTACAAAGCAGGCTAATCAAAAAACCATGGCCAAGTCAGGTTCCAGTAAACACTGTGTGCAGAGTTGTTCCAGCTCACCCCTTTGTAACCGGATTGACATAATAGCTGCTGGAGTAATAGAAGAGAGCCAAAAAAAGCCTCGGTGTTAAAGCTGAACTCCTGGAATTATTTGATTTTCAAAATGACAGAAGAGAAGTAGGGTGACACTGGGCTAAAGCCCTAGAGTGCCATCATCCCAATCTAGCAATTAGGGATGAGCTCAAAGATTGTTTTTGGTGAGTTAGCGGCAGTGATTGACAATGGATTTACAATGAGGGACAACTATTGGGGATTTTTTTAAATAAAGGACTGGTCAAAGGTTTTTGTGTCCTTTTTTTCCTTCTTTCTTCTACATAATTTTTTTTTTTTTACTATGTATCCAATATCCATTCATGTACCTGACCTCCTCCCCCCACTGTGGCCTGGTATGTGGCCTGGTATGTGGCCTGGTATGGTTGTGGAGCATCATCTTCCCCTTTCCTGGCCAGCTAGGCTGCATACTTGAATTATAGGTTTAGTATGGATTTTCTCACAATTTTTCTTTGTGTGTGAAGTAAACCCCTAAAATCCATACCAGGCTCAAAGAGTCTAGTTTACATTTTGGGGGGACTCTGTCTATGGAATTTACCAGCAATCTAAAACTGTTTTTTTTCCTTTGTACTGTAAATATCAGTGTTAAAAATTACTGCTCCCATCTGCATGGAATTTGTTTTTATAAAATTGTTTGCATTGGTACATGTTTCCCAGGGCACACAATGCTATTTTTTTTTACCTCATTTTACTATTAGACCAGAAAATGGACATTTTGGCTCTTATAGATCTAAATGGGGTTCTGGTTCAACGTCCAAACAACTTTGTTCACCGAAACCTGCTCTAACTAAACCCTAGGGCAGTTTGGCTTATCACTACTACAAATATTCACAATAGAAATGAGGCAAAAGATGTTTTGGGCTCACTTATAATCTGTTGATTGGTAGGAACATAGAACAAGCAAATCTTCTATGTCCTCTCCAGTACTACCATCTTGAGACAGGACAACTTTATGTAATTGACCTCTCCATCGTTTAGTCCCACAAAAAGTAAACGAAAGCTATTTCCTTGGAGAAATGGGTGTAGATGTAATTTGCTGTAACTATATAATGCCAGAAACCAAATGTTACCACTGTACTGAGATCAGTGGAATTGCATGTGGTCTTGTAACTCTTTCACTGGGAATCCTGATGATGTGGAGCTATTAAAAACACATTGACTGCAATCTTGTTACCTGGAAAATGGGACATTCAGAATAATGCAATTACTGAATATATGTGGTCTTTGTAATGTGGCAAATAAAAACATTGCACTGCACATCATACTGTATGTGATACTTTTAAACTTTTATATGATAGGATTAATACATTCATTTTTTATAGATCTATGGGCTGTATTTATATCCTTTGATTGCCATCACAGAAAGTCCCTAGGTTTTTTTTTTTGTTTGTTTAATTGCAGTATTTGCAATTATTTGTATTATTTGTGGCAGCACCGTGGCTAAGTAATTAGCACTTCTGTCCAGCAGCAATAGGGTCAACAGTTCAAATACTAGACATGGCACTACCTACCTTGGATGTTCTCCCTGTGCCTGCGTAGGTTTCCTCTGGGTACTCCGGTTTCCTACCATACTCCAAAGACATGCTAGTAGGTTAATTGAATCCTGTCTAAATTGATCCTAGTATGAGAATGTGAGTTGACTGTAAGCTCCTCGAGGGCAAGGACTAATGTAAATGTACAATATATACTGTATGTAAAGCACTGTGTAAATTGACAGTGCTATATAAGTACCTGTAATAAATAAAAATTAAATTCTTACATTGGTCCAGCTTGCTACTATGTAGATATGCAGTAAGCTCATCTGACTAGATAAAAATTGATTTAATAATTTAAGTAGCGCATCATATTTCATAGTTTTGGTAAATTTATAGATGATTGTGCAGAGATTGTACAGTCATATTGTAACATGAATTTAGTCACACCTGATAGACTGCTGAGGAAGGAGTCAGTGCTACTACAATGAATGTCATGATTTTCCGGTTCCTGCTCAGATTCTATGTGAGTGGCTGCCCCATTGAACACTGACTACAGGGGGTCACTGGCTCAGCAGTACTGCCATTGAAAGTATGCCATAAAAGTATTTCTTTTCTATGAAGGTGCAAGGTAAAAAGGAGGAGCAGTGACATCATGATTTCCACCTAATCTAATCAGAGAATGCCTTGTGTTCACTGAAAATAATACAAGCTATGAATTCTGGGGGTGTTGGAGGGGGCAGAGCAATCCCCTGTGGTCAGTGTGCAGTGGGCAGTTGCTTACATTGAACCTGAGCCAGACTGGAAGGGCCACAGCTATCACTATAGTAGCAGAGTAATAGAAGAAAGCCAGGCAAAGCCTAAGTTTTAATGTAAACAGTGTTTGTCATCCTCAGCATTGGTCCTTCAGATATGAATAATAAGTAAGCAGTGGTTAGTAGCCTTGTTAGGGAAACCCCTCCCACAGGTGGGTATTGTGGGTGGGGCTAGCTTTGTCCTTTATAATCTGTTGTTGGAAGACTTATGGGGCAGAGGTTGATATAAAGAGGTTGCTTACAGAATAACAAGATGTAAGATTGTGGCCCAAGATTGTGGTTGGCATTCCCATGTTAAAATTGAATTTGCACTGAAAAGTGTTGAAAATGTCGGGTGCAAAGAGTCAGAGGCATATTTGTGTTTTGGAAATAATTGTGCACATTGTTCCTGCTACAGTAAAACTTTAAAAAAAGCTGTGCATATGGACATTCTGTAAAAGAATATGATTCCTACATAGAGGTGTTGCTTAGGCCATCAAAAAAGCCTATAGATGCCAGGAAATACCTTTTTTAAATAATAATTTTGTACATAGGAAATAAGGGTTTGAGACGCTGTTTTTTTTTTCTTTTTTTTGTTTATGTTTTAATATTTTTTTTTATTATTAGTTTTGTAAAATACTTGTATTTCTACAGGACAATATACTGTACATTGTATGAGTATGAGCTATATAAAGATGTTTTATATTTAATTGTTGTGCTCCCATTGCAAAGACACTCTCTTACTTCATATGCACTTGACAAGACAGAAAGTGGTAATTAATATCTCTGGGCGAAGTTTTTAACCCTCCTCATGCTAAATCTTGAAATTCATCTCATAGAACTTGTTGAGCCTGATTGAACATTCAGTTAAAATGTCTACTGCTGAACCAAAGT